GCAAACAACCTGTTCACAAAATGAGCTTTCAACAAGTTCAGTGTATAATTTAATAAATAATAAACAACTAAAATAAATAAATGTTTAAAGATTGTGCGGGTAATGGGTACACTACCATGCGTGGTAGGGAGGCCAGCCAAGAGCTTAGAGCTCGTACCGTCTGGGGCTGTGTCCCGCTTGCAGAAATACCACGAGGGGAAAACTCCGCAAACTGACGTGCAGGTCGGCACGTGATCCTACTTGCCAGGGGTAGAACCCCGCCACTTCCCTGGATATAATATTCTACACTTATAGTGGTCTATTAATCGCAGCTGTTGGCTTGTAAACAAAATCAATCGAATTCCCCAGATAATGGGACTCTTGTAACTTTACTCTGAGCATTCGAAAATAATGAAAACAAGCGTCAAAGAGATTCAGTTCAGGAATAACAGTTGAAAACTTGAAATTCGCCTCTTTCCTCTGAAATTCCATACTTTCATGTGCTTTTCGCCTTCATGTAAAAGGGAAGTTGATCATCCGAAAAATTAGTGTGCGTATCTGATCCTCTATGGTTCCTGAAGGAATCATTTCCTTGCTGAGATGCTCGTGTGCAGTGCTCTCCACCGGCTGGGGCCGTTTCGTCCTCCAGAGACTGAGTTAGTTCAGAGCCAGTCCTACCACTCTACTGCGACTTTGATCGCGAGTTCCTGATTCCGAGACCACCCGGTGTCGAATTTTCGACACTACATACATAGCTTGGTGGAATACAGCCGCTATCCGGAGGAGAATATTGCGGTTGGCTGCTCTGATCGGAGGTTTTCACTTGTTTCTCCGACAAACATCAGTCTTATGCTGGAACCGTACCCTAACAAACGGACCGCGCGCTATCGTTCCTTCCTCTCCCTTGTCTTATTCTATGCCCTTACTCTCACGCACATACTTACATGCAGTACATTACCACCACATGCCGGAAGTTTAGTGCTTGTTCCAGGCAGGGCGGTGGCCGCTGAAGGAGTTACTCAATAAGTGGGAAGGATGCATAATACCACCACCTGTTGAGGCTGCGAAATATTGCCTAGATGAATGGGGAGAGCATTAGCAGAAACTGCAACGAGAAGTTTCGTGCATCGCCTTCTGTGTTCCCATCGGCGAGAGAGTGATGGAAAAAAGAGACACAATTGACAATGATTATTACTTTGCAGAAAGAAAAAATGAATATTGAAGAGATTGTCATGATTACCTCTGTCTGAACGAAAATAAACGTTCTCCTTTCGAATTTCGCGTCATTCATGCAATTAATTTGGCGGCTCATGTACCAACATCACCCATCCGTCACCTTGCGCCTTTTGTAAATGATAAGTTTTAAAAATGAAAATAGCGTGACTCTGGTACCAATTTAGAACTTTTCTGACAACCCATTCCACTAAGTGGAAGTGTCATGCTAAACGTAATAGAATGTCCAAAAATGAGTCATTTACGGCGTAACAACTGTTATTGATGAATCTAGCGCGTTAAGTAGTGTGTTTGGACTTCCAACTGAGGTGTTGGAAGTCACCTCAAAGGCAAAATCAAGTTGCGCTTGTGGTGCATTTAAGACTTTGTTTACTAGTTTAAGACTAGTGTTTACTATATTTTTAACCAAACGAGAATTCACGGGATTTTTTAAATTTACTTTATATCAAAAGTGAAAAGACACATTGTAATGGCCGGTTACCAGAGTCTGTGTTTTGGCGGTACATTATGTCAGTTTTTAGAAACTCAGGAGTTCAACCATCTGCAAATAGAATTTGCAGATTTTTTTAATCATAATCTTTGGTTCAGCGCTGCCCTAGGAACGTGTGGGGCGAGCGGCAGCAATTCCAGACCTCTCTCTTTTGGCCAGGTAGAATAAGTCATCTGCAATACTCATGCAGATGTAGGAACTGTTTGAGTGCCACTTTGATTTGACCGTCCGCTTCCTTGAGCATCGACATAGATGGTATCGCTAAAGCCAATTGTTAGAGGTAATATGGCATTATGTAGGTATAAAGTAATGCCATCTTCTGAGTGGGCTTTAAATGTTCCTTCTGAAGCTTCATCCCTGCTTCCATCAAATTCGATATGGACAACCTTTCCAGTCAGGGGTCATCAATGAACCAGGATTGTTCAAAGGTTGTAATTTGAAATGAAAGTTTTGCGACGGCTAGGGCATTCTGAGGGCTTCAAGTTATTCCAGCACAATGTCGACCACTTCTTGAGTTCCTGGGACTTCTTTTGCTAACAGCAACAGATCGTGTGCAAATGCATACACGGATACACTCGTGTATCCTGACATGTTTTCCGATTTCTCATGTAGGCACTCCATGATGAGATGATTTTTACCACTCTCTTAATTCGGAAAATCGAATCGGGGTGCGTGTTACCCCCGTGTTAGAGGAAGTAATTTACTGTATATACGGGCGAAATTTATCCACTTTTTTCGTTACGGCATGGCAGAAAGTGTTTTTCTATCGAATATTCGTCGCTTTTCTCGCGTCATTACAATACTTGGTCTATACTGCGTAAGCAGTAGCGAGAAAGCAAAAGGTGGTTTGTAACAGTGAAAGAAGAGTGAATGATGGTATTATTAATTCACGTGAACGTTCCAAAATTGCAAGTTTCATATCAATTCAACAAAATAATTTTTATATTGTTTTCTCTATTTGAGCAGTACGCTATTTGTGTTTGAAGCGGAGCGGGCATAACGAATTTAAAAGGCTCGCAAGGGTATAACATTACGAGTTTTGCTTCAGATTCATAAACACAGTAATGAACTAGTAAACCATGAAACTATAACTTACGAAAACAAGGGTTTAAGGACTTCACACGCATCGTTTCGAGTTTAGCATGGCGGTAAAGTGTATTGAAGAGCAACGTGTTGCGTGTGTTGCCTTCTTTCGCCTATGTACCTTAATCAGCGAATCGCTATTGTTTCTGTCTTCAAGCTATTTGATGCAGTTCTGGTGAAGGTATGGTGAATCTTATCTCCACAAGTATTATGGGAGTATGTGTCGAAGGTTCCTTATATAAGTGATCTCTCCGTAGCCTATTAAATAAAGAAGTTACTAGTATGTTGTTCGTAAACTTTTCTGTAATGGATTCGTCTTCGAACACGTTCAAATCGCGGCTGACTTATCGTTTAGGTATGGGAAGTTATCTTTTCTTAAAGGTAATGTTTTACATTAGAATGAATAAAAGTAAACGTTTGTTTCTTTTTCTTTTAGAGGTCGCGAACGAGACGAATAGATTATCTGCTTTGAAACGAGCGGCCAAGAAGCTGAAATAAGTAGTTTACAACCAAAGCAAAAGACTCACATTTTATCGCAGACACCCAACTGAGCGGCTGCGCTAGGGTGGTGCGAACGTTTGTGGACTGTGAAAATATCTGCGTACGGTTGGCAACTCGGGCGTTTAGTTGTTGGCAGCGCCAGTGCGGATGCTGGCTAGCCTCATCCGCATTTCACTTCGCTTGTTACGCGTACGTTCTTTCGGTATAAAAAAAATAAATAATAAAATGCGTTGTACTTGGAACACAGTCTCCCTTTCTCCGCCCCCACTTACCCACTGCGCCCCCACCCCCACCGGCAGCGCCCTTTGCGTTGGCCGCGAAAGGTCATCGTCATGGGCCATGCGTCGTCACCGCCGCGCCGCTCCGCGCCTCGCCCGTCGTCGTCGTCGTCGTCGTCGTCGTCGGGGGCTCCCGAGCGCATGTTCTATATATAGTACCGGCGCCCCCTCCCCGCCCCCGCGACCCGCGCGCGACCGAGTGTAACGCGGGCGGCGGCGGCGGCGCCGCCGGAGGGCAGTCGGCGCGGCGATGCCTGGCGGGCGCGCCGCCGCCTCCGCCTCCGTCTCCATCTCTGCCGTTCTGCCGCTGAGCGCCTGTGAGTGATCCCGCCCACGCCCTTTGCCCGTTCGCAAGCGATATTCAGCGTCACCCCCCCTCCCTGGAAGGGGTGGGCAAGACACTTCCCAGAAGGGCGTGCACGCATGGTTATCTAATCATTGAAGACTCTTCCTAATTCTTTTGTGGGTTGCCGCTTGTCAGGTTTACTGCATTGCAGGTCACACTCTCATCACAACAGTTGTCCTTGCACTAAATATTGTAATTATGTTCATATTAATGGGGATTGGTAATTGGCAATTGCGTTTGAATAGGCAGTAGCGTTGTGCCTGTTTGTTTATATTTCTGGATTTCACAGTTGCTTTAATTAATTTGTTGAAGTCTGTCAAAATTGAATAGAGAGATCCTGTACTACTGAAACATTTACAGATATAAAAATTAATGTGATATTTTCATATTAATGTATCTCATTTGTCTGTTTATACCATAAAGGAGTATAATTGAATTGCGCTGAGGAGAAAGGGAACAAGTCACTTTTATATTATCCTGTCCAATTTTTCTGTGAGAATTCACTAAGATAGCCTAAACAGTGATGTGATTCCTTCCTTCACTGTACAATTTGCCTTGCCCTAAAGAACAACTTTCCAAAACAAAAAATTAAAAATGCATTTTTGACTTATTCTCTTTCTTCTAATGCTGACTCAATGAATATCCAAACCATTGATGATATCCCACTACAACTCTGGGTTGTTTCATTTCAGGTCACTCTGGATTGTTTTGCTTCAACACATCTCGTTGTTGTTATTGTTATTATTATTATTATTATTATTATTATTATTATTATTATTATTATTATTATTTAAGACTTATTCTGATCAAATATTGTGTTTTTTCTGATAATGAAGATGTCAGACATACATTTTTGGTTTTTATAAATATAAATACTTCTTATGTTCGCTATGCCTGTTCTAACGAGTCAATTCTACTTTGACTGAAAATATATATTCTTAATGTTTATTACTACTTTAATTTATGTTCCGTAAACAATTGAGTAATATGTTGAAGTTATGTCAAATAAAAACTAGTTGACATTGCGTTCTCAAGACTGTGAATCTTTTTGTTAAAGATTAATGTTCTGACTACCCTTTTTGTGATACAGGTATTTGTCACACTTGTGGTGAGAAAGTGACTGGTGCTGGACAAGCATGTCAGGCAATGGGGAACCTATACCACACAAACTGCTTCATTTGCTGTTCGTGTGGCCGAGCATTGCGTGGCAAGGCTTTCTACAATGTCCATGGAAGGGTTTATTGTGAAGAGGACTATTTGGTAAGTAGAGACTGCCCTTTTAAATTTCACCATAAAGTAAACCTTATACATAGTATCCTGGTAACTGGACTGCTGAATAATTTCAGGACCAAAAAATCCCAACCAGAATTTTGAAAGTGAATTTAGTGTTAATTTCAAACCCTTAGTAGGCTAAGTAGGTTGTGGTCCATGTAGTCTTGTTAGGACTAATGGACTAGGAAGGAATTAAGAAACAAAATGGTAATTCTTCTTCCTTTTCCTTACAGTACTCAGGATTTCAACAAACAGCAGAGAAGTGTGCGATATGCGGTCATCTAATAATGGAAATGGTAAGTGATTACATTATAAATGTCAATTTTTCCCCGAAGTATTCAGATTTGTTTTTTTATTTTATATTGGTTCATCATCAATCCATACCATTCTTTTGTAGCATAGAAGGATTATCTTTTTATAAATTGTATTTTAACTTAAATCACTATAAGCGTGCAACACTGAGGGTTTTTGCACCATACTGGAAGAGAGCTATCCATAAAAACAGAAAAAGCATTACTTGCAAAACAAATGTTTGAATTTTTTTTAAGAGTCCTAATTTTTGCATGTGGTTGGATGCGAGGGAAAAGGGTATGCTGCTTTTTTTGCTATCGTCTCTTTGAATTATTTTACTGAAATGATAAACCATTTTAGATGCCGAAATTGAAATACTTGAAATTTGTATGAAATACAGATTGGTTGATACCCTGTCTTAGATTTTTGAACATTCTAAAGTTTTAAAGAAAGTGACTATGTCATTGAATTCTGTGTATTGTACTCTTTGCATAAAGAAAAAATATGTCCCAGGCATTTAAACTTGAGTGCTTATGTTTCCAAAGCCAGATGCCATACTTCAAGATTGCCCATTAATTGAATTTCCTTATTAGTCGGGTCACTTTTCATTCTTATATCTACTTTGTATTCTAATGAATCATTTAAAGTGATTGAAGTGCAGTGAAATCTCTTTAAGCCGGCCATGTGATTAAAACCTTAAAATTGGTGTTTTAGAGAGGTAGTCTTCTTATAGGGAACTTCGCACTATTAAACAGAGCTCATTCCTGCCTCTGCGACTATTATGATATGCATCATAATTCTCTTCTTGTTTCAAGTGAAATCTTTAGTTATTGCTTCATAAAATTAATTTTATTATTTGTATTTATTTATGTACGTAATTACAAATGTAATTACAAAAAAGAATAGTATAGTGTACTTTACGAATTGTCCTTCTTCAGGTGATGTGTTATTGACACTCCTGTAGTATATTTTTAATAAGGTTTCTGACCCAAATATTTGCGCCTTTACGACTTCAGAAATCAAGCCTATCAGTTTCTGATTACCAAATTCATAGGCAAGGGACTGATAACTTCCAATACTAGATGGTGGTTGTTAAGTGGTATCTAATGAACAGTCTGTTGTGATTCTATTCTTCAGTTGTCTCTTGTTTATTGCACTCCAGGGATATTATTTTGTTTCTGTGAAATGATCTTTCAACTTTATAACTCGAAAATTTCTCTGCATTTCCGGAAAGGTCTCCCTTCAGAGTTATCATGAAATCTCATGCAACCAATCACAGTTGCTTATCTACAAAACACTGGAAACGATTTGTCTCACAGAAGTAGGTGAACTCTCGGTATTCTTTCAGTGCAAGATTTTGCTGGTCGGCTTAAAGGAACAGCGATATTACATTAAGACAAAAATTCATGGTCATTGGTCGGGAAGAGGGGTGGTCAAAGTTGACCACCAAGTCAAAGAGGGCAAGAATACATTGCACTTGCGGAATAATTATTCTGTTCCAGAGAAAATTGGTCTTAAAAAGAGGTGGTCTTGTCAAGAGGTTTCCCTGTATATTAAAATATATCACTATATGTTGTACATAGAGGCCAGAATAATGTTTTAAACTTCTAGGGCAAGAAGAGGAATAAAACAATTATCACTTTCTGTCAATGAATATACAGGCTCTAGAAAGTACTGGCATATAACTGTTATATGGATTTAGTCATGTGACATTACACTTGATTGGTCGCTGATTTGTAGGTAACCCTGTATGTACAGATGTTGGATAGATATATAAAATCTCCTCAACCATGTCATAATGTGACTTCCTGTCCATTTGTGCATAAGAATTTGCTTAAAAAATTAGGGGAAAATCAGGGTGTAAGTTGGTTGTGTGAAATTTCCCACTACATGTTCATGGAGAAAAAAGTGTTGTTAGTTTGTTTTTTTGACTCCTATACACACTCTTGTAACATTTATTTTGAGTTACTCTGGTTGTAAATGACTATTAGGTAGCACCTATTATATTTCTTTGGAATGTTTTTGGCAGATACTACAAGCAATGGGAAAGTCTTACCACCCAGGCTGCTTCCGCTGTTGTGTGTGCAATGAGTGCCTCGATGGAGTTCCTTTTACAGTGGATGTAGACAACAAAATATATTGTGTTAATGATTATCACAGGTATTCAGAGAAGTTTCTTATTCTAATAATTAGACTAAAAGAACAGTTGGCATGCCTATATCTATGGTTTCTTTTCAGAATGTTTGCTCCAAAGTGTGCTGCTTGTGGGAAAGGAATTACACCCGTGGAGGTATAGTTGATTTTGCTTCTCGTAATTATTCTAATTGTTGGAAGTTTTCCTTTTTTCTTAATGGAAATGTTTTGTTGTAGGGGACAGAAGAAACTGTAAGAGTAGTGTCAATGGACAAAGATTTTCATGTAGATTGCTACATATGTGAAGTAAGTGTAACAATTTAGTACATTCTCATAATTGTACATAATATTGCTTGTTTATGAACTTCGACCTGTTACCAGGGAGGGGGGGGGACAGAGGCAATATGCTATGACTTTCTTGTTTGTGGCTTGTATAATGGCTGTTACTTTAAAATTTGTCTGTGGCTTGTATAGGACTGTGGAATGCAGCTCACAGACGAACCAGACAAACGTTGTTACCCACTGGATGGGCATTTGTTGTGCCGGGCATGCCATATACAACGTCTTAGCCTTCCTCAGCAGTCTCGCCAACTTCAGGTAAGTTAAGGAGTTGAACCTAATGACTCCTGTCCCTTTCGAGTAAAATTCAAGTTTAACTGTTTTTCTGCTAAAGTAACAAAGAAAGGAAAATAGTTGAGAGTAAATTTCTTCTAGCATATGTGAAATTCTGGTTCATTGGAAGGCTGTTTGTTATTCTAAGAAGCTTAAACGAACTCCTTCATTGCCTAGTGATGTCATGTGGCAGCATTGCTGTGACATTGTTTTAATTATAAAATACAATGAGTTGCATTGATTACTGGGTATTTGAACAACATTTCTAACAGTGTTGTGGATTGTTGTGGAACATTGGGGAGGGGGGAGTTGGTGCGTGTGTGTGCTTTTTTCCCCACATTGAACTTTGAACTTTTGTGTGTGTGTGTGTGTGTGTGTGTGTGTGAGAGGGGAAATTTGTTAAAATTATTTTTTTATTGCTATTGAGAACAGGCCATACTGTTTCAGCATTTCTGATTACCCACTATTCTCATTCAAAAATGTCATTTTTTCACTAGTGTTTTTTGTTATTATTTTAAATGAAAGGAACTCATCTTTCGTCCTTTAATATTTCTTTTCTTCCTTAGGGTGTTCCTGCAAGCTACCAGTATTTGGGTTAAATAAGCTTCATAACTTGATCTAATCCAAGGAGGGTATGTGTGCATAAAGTGTTTTAATTGTACTTGTAGTGTAAATCAGATAAGGTACTCAGTTATGTTGTATGAGGAGAAATGTGCTTTTGTATGTGAAATTCATTCGCACATTCCAAATGTGATGTCTGTATATAAGTAAGTGTTGCTGTTATATTTTCATTGTATTCCTTTAATATATTTGTTCATGCTACCATTCATTTATGGAAAGTCTTCTAAAATTATTTCATTGTCAAAGGGAGTAATGTTCTATTTTTGTGATTTCAATCGGGAAATATGCTCACAAATTCTTTTTTGTAAATTTTATCTAAAATGTCATTGAGTATTACTTATTAAAATATTAAGGCTAAGTGATGTTTTGTATGCTCATTTATATGCTGTTAGAAAGAGAGAGAGAGAGAGAGAGAAATAGAACAACGTAAAGTTTTCAGTGGACTTTTGACAAGCTTATCAGACTGCATTATAAAATGTTCTTTTTCTTCAAAGTAGTAGTTCACGTTGCCTTAATTTTATTACAATAAATAAATATTATTCAGAATTTAAAAAATTGATTCATATTGTATAATGGAAACTCCTAATTTCCAAGATGTTTTTCTTCTTTTCACTTCTTACGTGTTCTTTGTTAAATATTAAACATAAAAGCATTCTCTTGACAAGTATACTTCAATTTTAATTCTAGTTCCCACCTTATTATGACATTGTACTGACAAATTGTATAATAAGAGTCAATTGTAAGGAAAATGTGTGCTATTTATTATCTCTTATGATTTGAGCTCCATTTATTTGAGAAGTTACTCTACGATACATTCTCTCATTAAATGAGAATGTTTCTACAAATCGTACATCACTCTGTGGATGTCTCTGTGGAAAACTTTATACCTGTTTGAACCAGTTTGATTGGTAATTTCCATGGAAATGCTCCTGCATCTTATAAGTAGACTAAGGATTTTTAGGCAAATGACTTTCACTCTTTTTGACATTAATACTCAAAATGAATTATGGATACATATGATGACATAACTTAAATAATAATAAAAGAATCATATTAATAGTGACTAAAAATGCATATTTGTACTGGAAAAGCCTAAAAATACTGCTGTTTGCATCAAAATAGAGATAGACAATTAGTATAGTGTATAATTCCTACATGAAAAATACACTAGACACAAGTATTGACTAGGAAGATAATTTTATGCAAATTAAATTATTCTGAGTTAAACAGGCATAACAGTTATAGATTTTACATTTATAACCTGTGCTACTTTTCATATTTTATAAGCATGTTTTTAATAAAGTAGTTTTAAGTAAAATAAAAAATACATGAACAATTTTTGTCATGCTAATTTGTACTGTCTATTTAAGTAATAATGCAACCTACTTTCACCTTTCAAGAGCATGTTGTAGGTGTCTAAACTAGGATAATTTTAGTCAAAATATCCGAAGTCTACTTGTAAGTGGCATTCTTCTTTTATTCAAGATTATTTATTTTGTCAAACCATACAAATTAACTCAAATAGGATATTGGAAATGAAAAGTTGTGAGGAGCTGAAGAAATAATTAATGAGGGTAGTTATCTTAAGCAGTGAAATATGTTCAGTTATTATATTAGGTAATAATAATTTTATATTCAAATTAGCGTGAAAAGACAATTCACTGTTTATTCCGTTTTACATTGTTGGGCAGTTTATTAGGATATTTTTTGACTTCAAGAATGCAACTTAGCAAATGCTCATTTATTTGAAATTGTTCTTCAGATGAACTTTCTTCATTGTAGTTGGCACTAATTTGAGGATGCTATGTGGAGAAGTTAAAGACACTAAAGCCTAATTGTTTGATCTTTGTGAAATAAAACTTGAGAACTTAGTGGGCCAACTACAATCTGTTTTAAGGGTATGAGTGACCCAACTGGCATCTGTTAGCATTGCCATTACTGTGGCTCTCGCGGCCTAAATTCAAGTACCATGTTTTGTGTACGTAGTTGATAAATTCTCTTGAATTTTACTTAAATTTATTTTTAACCCCGAATCACATATATACTGCCAGATTCATTCGGGAAATAGAGTTTTCAAAGCATGTAAATATTCTTAATTTATTTGTATAATAAGAAAAGACTAAGAAGAACTAAGCAGTATGGTCATTTGGTATGGCCTTATCAGATCAAATGGAAAGAGAGCCATGTAGTTTATACATCATTTGGTTTTGTGAAAATAATTTTGTAGTTTTTAATTGTCTGTCTACTTCATTATGATTGTCTTAGTACATATAACATCACAGAGGAGAAGGCATGTCAAGTGGAAATAAAAGTACTTAAATGTTAGCTCTGCATTTTTCATGCGCAATCTTTCATCTGTTTATACTCGTATTATGAACATTGTTTTTGCATCACAGTGGTGCTTGCAGTCTCTTTAGAGCTCTGACAAACAATTAGACTTGTCAGAGTAAAATTAGCAAAACATTGAGTATAATCTACATGGCAGTTGAATTCTGATTGACTGTATTGGAATTTTGGACCCATTTTCTTGAATTAAATCTTAATATAAAATGAAAGTATTATGCTCCTCCTTTCTCTCCTTTAGAGAATTACATCTATTAAAGCTTTATGATCAGTGTTGATAAAATGTTCTTGAAAAATTGACATGCAGCTGCCTTTATTGGTCCAATACTCAATACTCTTGCCTAATAATACTTATTTAGTTTCTGTCTTTTTACTATGCCTGCTTGAGAAATCGGAAAAACAAGTCAGGATAAATGCTATTGGAAAGGAATGTGTCTGTTAGCATTTGTTGATGATTTGGTTCTATTAGCAAAAAATGCCCAGGAGTTCAAGAACAGTTTGAAATTGTGGTGGAATATCTGGGGTCCTCAGAATGGCATTGTCCAATACTGAATATTCATAATTTCAAATTACAACCTTTGAACAATCCTTGTTCATTGAGGTTCCCTGTGGAAAGATTGTGGGAGAGAATTCCTCCATTCAGTAATAATCATACACTAACATACCTGGGAGTGGATTACTCTGTTTAGAAAGGCTTTCCTCTAAAGCATCCATATCAAATTTGATGGAAGCAGTGGCAAGGCTTTAGATAGCCTGTTTAAAGTCTTCATTTTCAAAGCAGCAAAAATTAATCCATTAAAAGAAGGAGAGGCGGCGACAAATGTGAAATTCAAAATTATTGACCTATTTCTCTTTTGTCAGTTTTCTTAAAAATATTAGAAAGGCTTTTCTACATGCAAGTGGGAATTTTTCTCAGAGAAAATAGAACATTTTCAGACTTGCAACACAGATTTCCAAATCAAAATATATGGAAATTGCCGTCTATTTCATTTTCTTTTGCTTCGTGAAGAACTTATTGGAATATTTTTAGATCTTTTAAAAGCTTTTAATTATCGTATATTACCTAATATAATGACCTTCTTGAGGAATTTATGGTATTGCCCTTGATAAGTTTTCCTTGAACTTTAAAAATATATCTAAAGTAGTAACTTTACTGGCACAAAAGAACGTTATTTACTTATCTTTCAAATTTGTTGCCGATTGAGCATGGGGTTCCACTGGGTTCAGTCCTAGGCCTACTTCTTTCTTTTATATGTAAACGATATGCCCTCGACCATAAAATGGAGGACTAATTCTGTTTGCTGATATTTACCAATATTCTTCACAAAAAAGGAACAATAAATAGTACGATTTCAGAAGTTTGAAATTGATTTTGTAATAACAAATTAATAGTTAATGAAGGAAAAACTGTTTCAATGCATTTAGGCATTTCAAACTCTCAATTGCATGCTCCTTTGAAAATAAACAACATGCAATTAGCTGATTTTAAATTAACAAAATGGGTCTCCCAGTTCAGTCAAACATCAAATGAAATATCCTAAAACTGAATTAAACACTAAATTAAGTTCATTAAGTTACTCGTTCAGAATTCTTTCAAATTCTGTCAGTCTTAGTGCAGCTCGTTGTGTGTATTTTGCAAATGTTAATTCCTGCCTGAGATATGGCATACTATTCTGGGAATGTTCCTCCAATAGTATTCAGACTTTTACATTGATGAAAAACTATTTGAATAAGATGGAAATGCCATCCACATGATTCTTGCAAGCGTCTCTTCATTGAGCTTGGTATCTTACCATTGCCATGCCTATTAATTTACAAATTTGTAGTTTTGTCAAAACTGACTTACTTAACTGTGGGGATATATTTTCATGCAATACTGATATTTATAATTATAACACATTTGTCAGGTGTGTCTTAATGCATGTACCTTCCTTTACAACGTACTGCCAGATGACATTAAACAATTATAATCTATACACACATGTAAGTTTAAAGTAAACACTCTTTGCATAATACGTGTATATAATACATTAACATTACTTTACAACACACTGCCAGATGATATTAAACAATTAAAATTGATACACAAATTTTAATTTGAAGTAAAATATTTTCTGCTGTATAATTGTTTCTAAATAATTAGTCTATTCTGACCATCAAAAAGAAAAATATTTATTTTAGAAATGATATATGAAGAATTAGTTTATTATTTTATTTGTATTAAATAATTTTGAAACATACTTAATATACATGTGGCAAGTAATGTTCCCCAATCACGATTAGTCGTTTGACCAGTTTCCCTGATCCATTAAGCGAATGCTGAAATGGCTCCTGATTTTACTTCTGGACATAAATGTAGCTTCACTCTTTCTTGAGCTCACCATTTGCTAGTTGTAGGAGTAGAGGCATAGTTTACTATTTTCTTGTAAATACTAACAACTCAATTCTGTAGTTCGTTTATCAATGAAAACAATTTTCTATAACTCAGTAGCGACAATATCTACTTTTAAATGTTGCAAACCATGCTTTGGTGTTCTTTTATTGGTACAACTAATTAGGATTAAAAGGTAGGAGAAGGGATTCCAGAGCTCAAGAAAATGTGCATAGATTGTACTTCTCCCCCATATGTTACTTACAGTTTTTACAGTTCATTGACAAAATAAATCAAATAAATTTTGGAGAAAGTAGCTTGAATGGTTCTTACTACAGATATTTAGAAACCGCCTTTCAATCAGTGTGAGTGCAGGTGTAGCTCTTAAGCTCACCCACAATTATTTACACCCCTCCAGGACAAATGGTGTTGGTTGATAACTTCTTGGGTTTGATCAACCAGCCCACACTAATTGTAGATATAAATGCCTACAATCACTCTTAGGGATCTCCCGTACTTGTCAGAGGGAGGCTTTTGAAATCAGTCATCGACCCCATTGACCCGGCGATTGTCGATATAGATGAACCAACTCATTTCGCCAGCGAAACGAATTGAAGCACGTCTATTGACTTGGCCTTGACTTGAAACCGCTATGCGGTGGACCATATTAAAAGACCCGACCATTTCCCTACCATTCGAACTTTTCTAGAACAGTCAGCGCCCGTAAAAAAGGCACTGGCACGACTGCAGCATTATCCAACCGTGGAAAACTTAATTGAATTCAAAAGATTCAGAGCACAGATGAGAACTTCTCTCTGGATTGCCACGCGCCACCACGTCTGGAATAGCGGGAAAAATTCCCCGAATTAAAGGGCACTCATCACGATATTCGGTGTCAGGTCTCCTTAAGAATGATTACACCTCGAAATGCGATTGTAGTGAAACTCGCCGCTCTCTACGAAAACCAGTGGTGCTAGAAGAGCAAGTACTTTCACGCAAAATTTCGCGAAAAGATCTCGAATTTTCGAAAACTTGTACATGACCTTATTTCAAGATCTGTCTTAGAACAGATTTCATTGACGGAAAAATCTGTTTAATATTTCAGTTGCAGGGAAACTCCGAAAAAAAATTTAAGTTTTGCAATTTTCGAAAACTCAGGTTAATTAACGAACATGAAACATGCACCATTTTCTTAAACTATTCGACAACACAATTTAATCAAAAACGTTGGAGCCATTTAAAAAAAATGAAAATGACCTTGGGCTTTAACGTAAAGTACCTCCTGGAATTAATTTATCGATTTCAATTTCAAGGGACCGCGACATCAGCCATAATGATTGGGGAATATCAATTTTGAGAAAAATCGGCTGTACAATTTAGCTGCTGGCGTTGTACAGACTGACTGTCAGACATGTTTTGTCGTCATTCGATTTTTCGGTATCAAGGACCCTCAAAACATGGATTCTGGCTACATCACGTGTTAAGGACTTTTTCTCAAAATTTAACAACTGTATTTGTCCACCTTTTCGTTATCAGGACCGTAATAAAACGTTTCTGCATAAAATTCGCCGTTTTCGCACAGCGTTACTGCGTAAGCGGTAGCGAGAAAGTAAATATATCGAGTACGGTAAACTACGCTCCAAACTTTCTTTTAGTTAAAGAGAGAATGGAGAATCGTGCATTGGACTTTGCAAGCAGGGTATCTGAGTTTTACAACTCCCCATTATCCATGTCTTAAATGCCCGGCTCTGGCGTTTGTGAAAAGAACTGCCTCAGGTCCTTATGAAATTTGCAAACAAATGCTACAATATCTTCTTGAAACGGCAATGTAATTTCGGCTTAAAAGCTGGGGAAGAGTATACCATCCTCACTTTATGGCTAGAATCCATTATCGTCCCAGCGCTAAGAGAAGGAAAAGAACGAACGCCATTGAACTGCCGTTCTATACATCTCCTACCAGTTGCGTTTGCAAAGTGCTGGAACGCATCGTAAATCAGCGTTTGGTTTGAACCTAGGAGTGTAGAAAACCTCTCATCTCAATTCATTGCGCATTTAGAGAACACTAATCAACTCTGGACCATCTCGTCGTTTTGGCGTAAGAAAGGTTTACCTCTTCGTTTTGTGGCCATACTATTTGATACGAAAAAGTCCTACTCCACTTGGATGTACGGCATTCTGAGAACCTTACACTCTTGGGGTTTCTGTCCTTATTTCTGGGGTAAGCTTTCCCTATTTTTTCATAACTTTATTTTGAAAAGATCCTTGTATATTCGCGTTAGCGACAAGCTGTTTAACGGTCACCAATTTTAGAACTGCATCCCTCAAGGGTCAGGGCTGAGTGTCACTCTGTTGTCGTTGTCATAAACAGTGTAATGTCGGCCGTGTGAGAACGCAAAAACATATGTTCTTTAAGTCATATTTCAATTCTACTATTAGGGATCGTGAAAAAAAAATGTTTCGGTGCTAATAGATGGCAACGGAGAAGAGAGTGTGGCAAAATATAACAAACTGAAGAGGTATGGAAAGTTCGAGAAAGTCTGTGCTATTCTGTAGCGCCGCTATTTTCTGTATATTACTTGGCATCTACAGTCAACTTTTAAGTCTATATTTTTAATTTTTTAATGATTCCGGCACGTCTGTTTAAAATAGGAGTACTTATGCGGCCTTAGGTTCATAATTTAAATTTGGGTCGTTTTATTCAGAGTGATACTTGCATCTGCTACAGGTTTGTGTTTTATGATATATATTACGGTTTTAAATTATGAAATTGGCCCCAATGACCTTATGAAATAATTATATGCGTCGTCATTGCCAACAATATTGTTGGCAATGACGACGCATATAATTATTCCCCCGCACCACCCATCATTAAATGCCAAACGACTAACTCATCAACTAAACACGATTTAATGACCTTAGATTGTTGAAGCGCTCTTAAACTCATCAATAATTCAGCGCTCGGACGAATAGT